GGAAAAGAAACAGTTATATTGATCGGTCGCACCCCTGAATTCTGTGGTCGGGCTCCGTGGACGGATCTTGTCCTCCTCTTGTTTTATTGCGCTGATCAACCTTGGTTATATTGATTGGCCGCGCCCTTGAACTCTGTGGCCGGGTTTTGTATTCCTCTTGTCTTCTCTTATCTTGGGGTTGTCCTCCTTTTGCCGTCTTTTATCTTGTTGTTGTCCTCTGGCCGTGCTTGGCCACATTGACTGGCCGCACTTCTGGATTCTGCGGTCCAGTGTTTAGAATGTTGAGTGATGTCCAATTAAACGCCCGCGGAAGAAATGGGTTCACGTATGGGCCCGCCTCATATTATAGATAGATAGATAGATAGATAGGCGCCCGATAGTGTGCCCGTGAGATATATTAAATATTCTCAAATTTTCATGAATATGGCCACCAGCTGGAGAGGAGTATGGCCGAATAAATAACGATATCGATGCCGATAAAGAATTATTAATGAAATTATTCATTCTTGGGATGAAGGTAGGATGTATTGAGAGCATTGGCTCAAATAAATCATTTTGAAATTATTTGGTAACTATATTGATATATATTTGGATAGGATAATGAATCGAAAATCAATAAATATATTAAGCAGTATTACAATTAGAAACTATATCTTAATCTGGAGATTAAAAGGAATTCTACACCGATAATATTCATATCTATTAAATCAAAATTATACAAGCATAGACCCCAAACAGCTTCAAAACGATTCGCTTAGACCAATATCAGTCAAAAATCGATTTCTTGGTACGCTCTACTTTCACCCCAAGAGCAAACTGCTTCATCAATGAATTTTTGTCGGCATTGACATCGCTATTTGTTCGGCCACACTCCTCTCCAGTAAGCCGGGCCACAGAGACCAGCCACAGAGTTCAGGGGCGCGGCCAAGACAAGGACAAGAGGAGGACAAGACCCGGACACAGAGCCCAGCCACAGAGTTCAGGGGCGCGGCCAAAACAAGGACAAGAGGAGGACAAGAAGAGAACAAGGCCCAGCCACAGAGCACAGCACAGAGGACAAGAGGAGGACAAGAGCCCAGTAAGCCCTCCATAGCATACGAGCACGCGCGCACTCGCCCTGCGCGCGCTCTCTCTCTCTCTCTCTCTATCTCTCTGTGAGCGCGCCTTTCTGGAGCGTATTTCAGAGCGCGCGAGCGCGCGCGCGCTCGCTCGCCCTGCTCTCTTTCCTCTTCTCTCTCTCTCTCTCTCTCTCTCTCTCTCCTTCTTTCTCTTTTAAGTTTCTCTTTCTCTGTCTTTCTCTCTGCAAAGCGCGCTCTGAGCGAGCCTTTCTGGAGCGTATTTCAGAGCGCACGCGAGCGCGCCGTCCATAGCACACGCGCGCGCGCGCTCGCCCTGCTCTCTTTCCTTTTCGCTCTCTCTCTCTCTCTCTCTCTCTCTGTCTGTCTGTCTGTCTTTCTTTCTTTCTTTCCTTTCTTTCTTTCTTTCTTTCTTGCTTTCTTTCTTGCTTTCTTTCTTGCTTTCTTTCTTGCTTTCTTTCTTTCTTTCTTTCTTTCTTTCTTTCTGTGTCTCTCTCTCTCTCTCTCTCTCTCTTTGTCTGTCTCTGTCTCTCTCTGTCTCTGTCTGTCTCTGTCTCTGTCTCTGTCACTGTCTGTCTCTGTCTGTCTCTGTCTGTCTCTGTCTCTGCCTGTCTCTGTCTCTGTCTCTCTCTGTCTCTGTCTGTGTCTGTCTGTCTCTGTCTCTGTCTCTGTCTGTGTATGTCTCTGTCTGTCTCTGTCTTTGTCTGCGAGCCACAGAGCCCAGCCACAGAGCCCAGCCACAGAGCCCACGCAGCCCCGCAGAGTTGACAGAGTTCAGGGGCGCGGCCAAGAGAAGGACAACAGGAGGGCAAGGCCTGGACACAGAGCCCGGCGCGCCAAGAGGACAAGAGGAGGACAGGGCGTGGGACAAGAGGAGGACAAGGCCCAGCCGTAGAGCCCAGCCACGAGTTCAGGGGCGGCCAAGAGGAGGACAAGGCCCAGCCACACATTTGACAGAGCTCAGACAGAGTTCAGGGGCGCGGCCAA